ATGTTTGTCTTCTATTTCATGAAGTTTGTTAAAAATCTGGTTGTAATATTTAAATCCGTAAAAAACATATTTCGTGTCAATAGAATTGTTCACTATTTGTTCAGTGTTACTGATCGATCCCATCGATGACTGAATGATTTGCTAAATAATTGCTGTGTGCCATGTGACATTAACGCGAATTGTTTGAAAACAATTTGAAGAATGCACTCAACATTGAGACGTGTCACTCTCCTTTCGTTATAGTTCGTTATAGTCTTCATACTCGATTGTGCAATTTAATTGTTGATACATGGTGACTAGGGTTTGTCTCGATCACTACTATGTCTATGTTTATCGTACGCACCTCTGCTGTTGGCTGTCATGGAAAATAAGACATTGTTTATATGTTGGCTGAAAAAAAAAGAAAGAATTATAATAATTAATGCATCGATAAGCATATTCAGCAAAGTAATCTTTTTAATAATTTAAGTACAAATATACGCACATATATTGAATTATTGTTATATGCTACAAATATACATACATACATATATACATTTTTATCACATATATGAATAAAACTTGTAAAATTTATTTAAATCGTTGCTATCTTGCGTTTTGTTTTTATTAATGTACAATTTTTCACATTCAATATTTTCATTTTCTTCAACATTTTAATTTGCGAAAGATAAAGATTTAATATAGTAATTTATTGTTAGTGTAGCTAAAAGGACAGATCCCATGATAGACTAATATGAAGAGAGCAATTACAAAATCAATACGAATAAGACAATTTTTGCTCATAATTGTACGGAATTGTACGGACGATAAGAATTTCTCATTGAATTTTTAGGAATTCAGACGCAACTTTTGTAACTCGTATGCGAGCACAATACGTGGAATTATTATAAAAATTCTGTGATAAATTATCTGTGATAAATTAAAGCTAAAAATCGTATTAGCTTAAAAGACATTACGAAAGAAATGTCCAAGTGAGAGATCGTCCACGTGATTTTGCACAAAATGATCTCCCTGTAACTTATCCTGATTGATGTGATCATAAGATTCCAAAAGTTGGCCTGTATTATACTTTTAAAATGTACCTCATATCATGATGCTAAGTGGAGGAGAAATGAAAATCAGAAAATTTCAACGAAAAGGCCGGTTATCGGGACAGGCAGAACTAGTCTCGCACTTATAATTCCATGTTTATCGGACGAGTGTAGTTCACAGATTACACCGCGAAATACCGTAGCAGCGATCAGAATTTTCTCGAAACTAATTTACGGATTCCATCACGAGATAGCGGCAATGCCAAGTTCACCATTTGCAGAGCGGCAATGTCAATTATAGAGTTTCCCGAACATGTTACAATGAATTTAATTCAATATAACATGCGTATTTCGATAGAAATTATTACATTAAAATCACTTTTTTTTAATTAAAAATGCTTTTTGATGTTTAATAAACTTTAATTACATTAACTTAAATGCTTTTGAAAAGTGCAATGGTTTCAATATCCACACCTATTTATAGTTAATATCTAATTTTAATTAATTATTTTTATAATATTTCAAGTTTTTTTACTTATGATTTGAATTATAATATTTCATTATCTAATTTATCAATAATGACATATCAATCGTTATTCGTGATAACCAAATTTTTACTTCAGAAATTCGAGAACGCTATTTGGCAGTAATAATAATGAGGACAATCAGAAAAGAAATACTTTAGTACATTAAATCTTGTCGCATAAAAAATTTATTGCCATTAAAATTAACATGGTTTATTTTCCGGACTGAAAAGATGTGTTTGTTATTTAAAATATTATTTATGTAAATTATTTTATGTATATTAGGCTCATACGCAAGAAATTTTAACACAATACATTTGGCAAACAATGTATGATATTACATATTTTATTAAATAATTAGTCAAAACTTCTAATACGATAGGATCAATATGCATTAAAAGTAGTCGTTGATTAATAATATTATTTTAATCATTCCATAAAACATTATCGTCACTATTATCTTCTTATTGTTTATAATTAAATATTGGTCCTTTTAAATTACAGTTGCACTATTATTAGTATTATCCGGAATTTGAAAAAAATATTTAATATTATACCAAATAATTCGTTAAAAGTCGCTATTTTCAATATCCTATTTCATATTATAAGTCAACATTATTTATATGTACATTAAATTAATATTGACCAAGATTTGTACTTTCGAATTTGGAATTAATACATTATCGGTATTTTGCCTGCCTATTGTCTTTCTTAATTTTCGTAATATATCTTTTCATAGTTTATGAGAAAATATATTATGGTCGACCTTACAAACAAGACTAATCTGACATTGTCAGAAATTTTTTACGTGTTTCAACCCTGTTTGTTATTATTATTAATCTAAAAAAACGTTGAAATCATATATTTCATATCAATTATTAAAAATACGCACATATTTGTCATAATATGTATATAAAACAAATACTTTGTACGTATATTTTAATTATATATAGTACATATATGAATACGTGAGAAATTTCCAACTATTTCAGATTAATCTCATCTCTGAAAGTATCCGCAAAATTATAATTACGTTACG